TGGGAAAACTGGGCATCCATACACAGAAGAATGAAACTGGACCCCTACCTCCCACCATATGCAAAAACCAACTGAAGATGGATTAAAGATTTAAATTTAAGATGCAAAACTATAAAACTACTCAAAGAAAACAGGGAAAACACTTCAGGAACCCAAAAATTTAAAAATAAATAATCCCATTAAAAAGTAGACGACAGACAGGAACAGACATTTCTCAAAAGACGACATACAATGGCCAAGTGCTATATATATACATAAAGCTCAATATCACTATGTATCATACAATCCAGCAACCCCACTACTGGGTATTTATTCAAAGGAAAAGAAATCAGTGTGTCAAAGGGATACCTGCACACTCACCTTTACTGCAGCACTATTCACAACAGCAAAGATATAGACACAACGTAATGTCCACCAATTGTTGAACATAAAGAAAATGCGACACATACCATCTCATGCCAGTTGGCATGGTGATTATTAAAACGTTAAGAAACAAGAGATGTTGGTGAGGTTGTAGAAGAATATGAATGCTTTTCCACTGTTGGTGGGAATGTAAATTAGTTCAACCATTGTAGAAGACAGTGTGGCAATTCCTCAAAGATCTAGAATCAGAAATACCATTTGACCCAGCAATCCCATTATGAGGTACATACCCAAAGGAACATACATCATCTTATTACAAAGATACATGCACGCATATGTTCACTGCAACACTATTCACAGTAGCAAAGACAAGGTATCAGCCCAAATGCCCATCAATGATAGACTGGATAAAGAAAATGTAGCACATATATACCATGAAATACTATGCAGCTGTGAAAAAAAAAAAAAAACAAGATCATATCCCTGTTCTCACTTGTAAGTGGGAGCTGAACAATGAGACCACATGGACGCAGGGAGGGGAACCACATACTGGGGCCTGTTAGTGGTAGGATGGGGGAGGGAGAATATTAGGAAAAATCACTAATGCATGCTGGCTTAAAACCTAGGTGATGGGTTGATGGGTGCAGCAAACCACCATGGAACAGGTTCACCTACGTAACAAACCTGCACATCCTGTCCACGTACCCAAGAAGTTAATTTTTTTTTAAAAAAAGAAAGAAAATGGGGTACATATACACAATAGAATACTATTTGGCCATAAAAAGTGAAATCATGTAATCTGCAGCAGCATGGATGGAACTAGAGGTCATTAAGTGAAAAAGCCAGATACAGAAAGACAGTCTGCATGTTCTCACTGACGTGTGTCAGCTAAGAAAACAAGTGGATCTCATGGATGTAGAGAAAAGAATGATGGATACTAGAGGATGGCAAGGATATATGGGTGGGAGGGAGGGACAAGACATGTTAGTTAGAGGGTATAAACATAGTTAATAGAAGACATAAGTTCTCATGTTCCACAGCAGCGCGGGTGACTACAGTCGGCAGCAATGCGTCGGGTGTTCCACAGTCACTACAAGAGAAGACTTGAAATGCTTGGGATGTGGAAATGATACTCAAGATGATGGATACCCCCAAATACTGACTTGATCGTTACACATTCTACGCATGTAATGAATACGTGCACCCCGTAAGTATGTTAAATATTATGTATCAAGAAAATAAGTTATAGTTTTTGTCTATCAGGTTAAATAAAACATATTTTAATATAGTGTTGCTGAAAACACGGCAAACAGGCACTCCGGCATATTAAAAGTATAAACTGAGCTCAAGAGGTTTCTTAATTCATCCATATCTAAATAGAAGGCATACAGCTCTCAATCCAGCAGTTGCAAGAGTTGATCCCACCGACACCATCACACGAAGACATACATAAAGGATATTTACGACAGTGATGATTCGCTGCAAACAAAATGTTCCCCAGCTGGGGACGGTGCAATGCTCGGCCCCAGAGAGCATCTGCATGGGTAAATCATGCAGTCCATAAAGACAAGAGGGAGGCACGTGGGTGGATACGGACCTCCCTTTACAAAAGAAAGCGAGGGACCCATCAGTTCATAAAACACCTTGACACTCAGGTGTGCCCCAAGTCACAGGGAGGAGACCTGAGTGATTTTTGCATCAGTGCCTTGGACTCTCAGCAGGGAAAACAGCTGGAGAAGGGGCAGGAGGATGACTGGCTTTTCAAGTTACATTCTTTTGTCTTTTTTTTCTAAACCAGATACGTAACTTTTTTTTAAAACACAGGGTCTTGCTCTGTCGCCCAGGCTGGAGTGCAGTCGCACAATCACAGCTCATAGCAGCCTCGACCTCCTAGGTTTAAACAATCCACCCATCTCAGCCTCCCAAGTAGCTGGGACCACAGGCACATGCCACCACGCCCTGTTAATTTTTGTATTTTTTTTTTTGTAGAGACAGGATTTTGCCATGTTGCCTAGACTGGTCTTGAACTCCTGGGCTCAAGCAATCTGCCTGCCTCAGCCTCCCAAAGTGCTGGGATTACAGGAGTGAGCCACCCCACCGAGTTTTTTTTTTTTCAGGTGGGATTTTGTTGTTATTGCCCAGGCTGGAGTGCCATGGCGCAATCTCGGCTCACTGCAACCTCCACCTCCCGGGTTCAAGAGATTCTCCTGCCTCAGCCTCCCGAGTAGCTGGGATTACAGGCATGAGCAACCACGCCTTGCTAATTTTGTACTTCTAGTAGAGATGGGGTTTCTCCATGTTGGTCAGGCTGGTCTTAAACTTCTGACCTCAGGTAAGCCACCTGCCTCGGTTTCCCAAAGTGCTGGGATTACAGGCATGAGCCACTGCACCCGGCCCTAGCCTTTTTTTTTTTAATTAAAAAATATGGTGGGGAAAAAATAATAGCTTGCAATGTGATGATCGTTTATAATAGTTTGCAACGTGGACAATATTTTTTTACACCTCTTCTAGCACTTTCTAGGGCCCTGATAAGTGTTCACTTGTAGGGAGACCTCTGTCCTTAGAACCTTAATTGTCATTCTGGTTTCACAAAAGAACAAACTATCCAATTGTGCAAACTAGAACTGCAAGTTTCTCAGGGCCAGGTAAGGTATTGTGAGGTCCACTGGTCCCATGCCTGCACATACCCCAAAAAGGTTCGTGTGCTCAGAGGCAGAACCATGCACTGAGAGAAGCCCACTGCGAGGGCCGCATCCCCAGGTCTCCAGCCTGGGCCAGTGCCCTCTTTCTCTAAGTTCGCTGTCTGGAAGCAGATGCACCTGTGATCTGCACTCTCGTCAGAACAAGCTCAGGGTAGAAAGCATGTAAGCGGACAGTCATAACCTCTGCTGCAGCCCAGGCAGAGGCAGCAATGAACGGTAATCAAGGCATACTGACAGACCTTTAACTGTTTTAATTTTTTTTTTAAACTGAGCTGTCATAGTGGTTTAATAGTGAGGTATTTAATTGTATTTTTATATTAAAAAAATCCCAAAACAAAGTGACAATGGGGACCTCATTCTTTGGACTTGCGGTAGAGATGTCTGAGGATCCTAATGCTCTATACCTGCTAACCTGTCAGGAAGATCACAACATTCCCCACAAGCCATGAAAATCAAGCATGACTAAGTCCTTGTCTGCACCAGGCTCCTGCCCCTCCACATGCTGTCTGAGCATGCACTTTTCTTTTGAAGGCCAATTTACGAGGCCTTCTGCCTGAGTCAGGGGTATTGCTAATGGAAGATCTGATGAAATTCCTAGCAGAAAATGCAGAACCTGCAAAATACAAACAGCTCAATTTACTATGGCTTATAATCAAGGCAAACTATGTAATAAGAGGTTGTATTTCATCAGAGATGCAAAAGGTCAAAGGTCAGATGCAAAAGACAAAAGGAAGAGGTATGTATCTTAGAGACAAGCTCGCAGTACCTTTAAGTGGGGAATTCTCGTGGCCAACTGGTGACTCACCATGTGTTGTTTTCCAGAAATGGGTAGATGGCAGCTCTGCTGACCCAACAACCACCTACATGATCTTCAACATTTCAGGATCACTGGAGCTTGTTTAAAGTGAGTCTACACTGCTGAGTTTCCCACTGCTGCATCCCCCTCGGCAGCAGCCCTGGGTAAATGGCCGTACTGACAGCTGTGACTCAGCCACTGGTTCCCGGAGGTCTGGAACTCAGGCCGGTTACTCACCACCGATTTATGGGATGGACCACTTATGTATTTATCAATCAAGTTCCCAAACTTAGGGCACCCAGTGTCCCTCGCCTTGATGTTAGCAAGAGAACCACAACTTTGCTTCTCTGCAGACAGATCTCCCAACTTCCCCGTCTGATGACACAGATTGATTTAAAAAGCAGCTGAGAGATTGGTGCGGTGGCTCACACCTGTAATCCCAGCACTTTGGGAGACCAAGGCAGGTGGATCACCCGAGGTCAGGAGTTCGAGGCCAGCCTGGCCAACATGGCGAAAATCCGTCTCTACTAAAAATATATAAAAAAAATTAGCCAGGCATGGTGGCGCGTGCCTGTAATCCCAGCTACCTGGGGGGCTGAGGCAGGAGGATCACTTGAAACTGGGAGGTAGGGGATACAGAGTGTCACTGCACTTCATCCTGGGCAACAGAGCGAGATGCCGTCTCAAAAAAAAAAAAAAAACTGGAAAGAAAAGCAACTGAGAGTATTGGGCGTGGAACCTTAATTACATACACCTTCTGAGGACTCATGCCACCACAAAACCATGTTACCTCAAAGTCTCCCACCTCCATTTCCCCATTTTAAACAGTTCATGCTTTTAAATACAGAACTCCCATGCCCTTGGAAGCTGTCCCTAGAAAGCACTGAGATTCTCATCCAGATGCCTCTGTCCCTTACCTGTCAGAACAGACCATCAGGGCCACTTCTAACAAAGATGGTCTGAGTGAGGCTACATGAACCCCAGTGGGAGGAACCCCCTCCTCCATAGAGATAAGTTTCGCTCCCAACAAACGCTAATGCAAGCAGAATTCCCTAATCCCAGCAGAATTCCCTAATGCCAGCAGGGGGACTGAAAGGTCTCAGCTGCTTAGGATTTCACTGGTAGAAATGAACAAAGCATAAGATTCAGTTACTAATTTGACAGGTAAGATTTCTGGGAGAGATCCTGAGAGTGACCCTGTATGGCAAAAAAGAACACAAACATCGATTTCTGGGAGATATACCCAACAGTCAGAACATGTCTCCAGAGGGCATTTTCTTGGCACATCTGGGACTACCTGGTCATGACCTGTGGTACTCTATTGCAGTTAAACCATGGGGGAGGGAAGAGGGACGGCAGACAGTGCCCTCCACCCAGAGGAATCCAGGTTCTGGCTCCAAGACGGCTCAGGCGGCTCCTCACTCATCGTCCGGGACTTCCCGGAGCCCTTCACTGTGGCGCGACCGCCCACTGATCTCCAGCAGGGCCTGGGCCTCGGGGTCTGCGTCCAGGATGCTCTTGTTGCCCTTGGCCTTGAAAAGAGAAGAAAGGGTGGGTGTGTTCTGTGATGGCCCAACAACAGGCAGCGGCTTCTGCTCATTTTCCAGCCTTCTCGGGCTCTGGTTCCCCCAAGGCCCCTCCCACTCTGGGATACAATGGCTGGGTGGCTGGGAGGTGTTACTGGAGGGTCAGGGGCCAACAGCAACTCAGGTGCGGAACCAGGCAAGAAGGAACCCCAGACCTTTCTCCTCTTGCAGATGGGCAGAGAGAAAGAAGAGCCCTCTGGGCTCACGTTTGGGGATGCCCCTCTTCCCAGGGCTGCTCCACTAAACCACCCGCGAACCCCAGCCATGCATCTCCCGGGATCCAAGCCAGCACCAGCTGCCAGGATCAAATTTGGGATAAACAATCTGCCAACAGAAGAGTAAAGGGGGTAATGGCAAGAAAATGCAGAAAGGCCTCCAGGCTCAAGGTGCCATCATGGGATGCAGAGGATGGCGCCACTCACCATCTGCGCCTCCGAGGGGTCTCCGACCGCCCACACCTCCATCTTATCAAACTGGAAGTTCTCCTGGGCCGACAGCTGCGGGCTGTTATACGTGGTACACGTGGGCTTGGCTCTGCTGTGTCCTTTCCCGAAATCAACATCCACCCAAAGCCCAAAGTAATTGTGCTGCCCCCCCATGCCCTGTGAAGGAAGCCAGGACAGAGAACAGCATCAGCAACTCCTCAGGCTCTGCGACATCAAATACCACGAGCCAGCCTCTCACCTTGAGTGCCAGCTAAGACGGCGGGTGAGTGGTGAATGCGATCATCTTGTTTTCCCTAACTGTAAAATATATCAATGCTGCCATTTACGTATCCCATAAAAAGTCACTGCAACGGTCATCCACAGCTCCAGACGCCTACCCCATGGCTCTTTGCTGGCTGAAAGCCCAAGTGATGCCAGAGAATTAAACATATTAAACATATATACACAAAAAGAGACCTCTGGGGCCCAGAGCCCTGCCCAGCTAAGATAAGGGGAGAGGTGGACACAGAAACTGACATGGCAAACCCCGTGTCAGGGCCCAGTGCCCCCACTTCTGGGCAGCAATCCTCATCCCAAGACAGCCTGGGAAACTCAGCTCCGAGCACGTGGCTTACAGGATGCGGAGGCAGACCCAGAGGTGGACGCAAACCCCTGTGCCTTTCACCCCCAGTCACACAACTGGGCTCTGGGCTGTTCAACCGTGCCCCACCCAGAACCTCCTCTGGTCCCTGGTAGGCCTGGAAAACCTGGCACACACTGGTTCTGACCTTGGGCAACAAAAGACCCGAGGACACTGTCTGGAGTTGACACTCGGAGCTGCTCTGTCCCTTGGGGTCAATGACAAGTGATGACCAGGGCCTGCTGGGTGCTGCCTGTGAGGCTGGCACCCTCGCTCCAGCGGCCACCAGACTGCCCTTTCCAGAAGTTGCCAGGTGTTCTAGGTGGTCCGGCCACATCCCTCCCTCTCCCCAGGGTGGTGGTGCGTTGAGCCTGGGAAAGATACTGGTCCCTTTAGTGGACCAAGGGGGACCAGCCTTCTCTGCCCTCAGCTCTGTACACACAGAGCTGGATTTTCCCAATATGAGCTTTTCATCAAGCAGCAGAGGAAAGAAGCTGGCAGGAGCAAGCTGAGCCTCGGCGGGAATCCTCCCCCAGCTCCTGCCCTCGGCCCTGCCTGGACCGTGTTCACCCTGCTCCTTGCACCTGGCCTAGGCTTCCCCCACTTCCCCTTCATCCTGTGACAAGTCACCGAGCTGAAGTGAGGGCTGGACAGGAGCCACGGTCACCCCCACTGGGGCCCCACATGCTGTCTCATGAGCTGCCAGCTGGCCAATCCCTACAGTCCCATTCCCCACCGTCCAGCACTCCTAGGTATGAGGCAGGCCAGCGATGCCCCTGGACAGGTTATCCCTAGCCACAGAGGCCACAAGCCAATCACCTGTTGGCCACGAAAATGGGCCAAGTGTGCCACCTGCACACAAACCACTGAGAAGCCTCAGCAGAGGCCACGGGCTTCTGGAGGCAGAAGGAAATGTACATGGCGTGTGAGGAGCTGAATGCCATGTGCTCTGCCCTGATCTGTGGAGCTGAGCCTCAGGGTCAACAGCTTCATGGGGGGACATCACCAAGGCGAGACCACCATGCTCTGCCCAGCCTCACCAGTCCATTTGGGATTGTCTGCTGTCCATGGTTCAAGTACATGTAGTGGTCGTTGTAGCCCGTGTGTGTGTGCACGGCCATGCTGGGGCAGACGGAGAACAGGAAGCATCTGTTGTCCCCTGAAAGTGACCAGAGAGCAAAACAAACAGGATTGGTGTCCAAGTCGGGCCGAGAGCCAGAAATGCTAGTGAGCTGCAGCTCAGGAAACAATGTGGCCAAGACCCCTCACCCATGTCCAGGTGTCAACAGATCAGGGGTTAGGACAACCTGCTGGGAACCCAGGTAGACGGACTGGGGGTGTGGGGATTAGAGGACAGCTAATAAGGAATGGGACATCTTTTAGCTCTGGCCAGGGGAGCAGAGATCAGACCTGCCCTTTCCAGAAGGTGCCAGGTGTTCTAGGTGGTCCGGCCGCACCCCTCCCTCTCCCCAGAGTGTCTGCTGCCATCCGTTCAGGCTGGCCAAGCACATCCAAACCAGAAAGAAATGGCTTCCTTTAGCTTATGAGCAAGGGGCAGGCGGTCACTCCACAGAGCCTACCTGAGCAGGCAGGTGACACTGCATAGGGCTGTCCCCAGCCTGAAAGAATGTACCATGCAGAGAGAGAAAACCCGCAAATGCAGAGCTGCCCCAGGGGGCACAGCCTGGGAAAGGTGGTTGTCTACCCTCGCCCGCATGCGTGGGGCACGAACACAGGCCAGTAAAAGTACCAGTCAAAACTCTGGAACCTATGGGGTCCCCAGTCTTAGAAACTCCTTCACTCCACAAGTACCTCAGCACCAAGGAGAGGGCTGGAGGCCAGGCCTCGCCCTCAGGGAGCTCCCAGCAGGGGGGCACTTCCCTCCGAGCTTTGAGGACTTAGCCAGGAAGGGCTGCCCGCCTCGACACCAGCACGCACAACCGTCACAACAAACAGAAAAGGCTGCAGAGAAACAAGCTCATGGGAATTTGGGGTTGGGCTATTCATCAACAGGGAAAGAAGTCACAGGAAGCAAACTGGGGGCACAACGCAGGAACGCAGATCAGAAAAGGGCACCAAAACCCGAGGGCCAGAAGAGGCAGCGGCCCAAGCAAGCAAGCAGGGCCCGTAGGGTGCAGGCTGATGATGCCCCCGGCCTCCAATCCAGACAGATCCCTGGGGAGCCTCTGCCATCGGGGAGGCTTCTGGGAGGCCACTTCGAAGGTCAAGAGGAGGCCCTGAAACAGAGCTGGTTGGGGCAAGAGCCCCATGGAGAAGGGATCCCATGAGGACAAGGTGCGGGACAGGTAGGGAACAGCAGGGCTTGAGAGTGTCAGGTGGGCTCTCATCAAGGAGGGCCTTTAGGCTAGAAAGTTCCACCGGAACCGGGTAAGAGAACGGCTTGACCCTGCGCTACAGACTCAGGCTTGCTTCACTGGCTTCAGCAGCCCCAGTGGGTTGAGGGCAGGTTTAGACACCACCGTGAACGGCTCGGTCACACCCGACGGCAGTGACCCCGCCCCCCCCGGCACTGGACTTCAGACAGGTGGCCCTTTGCTTTGTAATCCTAAGCCTGTCATGCTTCAAAACAAGGTCGCAGGGCCAGAGTTTAGGCCTTGGCTGTGATGGGCCCAGATTCTAGTCCACCCCCAGGGCTGTCTCCATAGAGAAGGCCAGGCGGGGGAGCATCATTCCACAGGATACAGGGCAACGACCTGAGGAGTCAGGATTATCTGCAAAAAAAATAGTCACGCCCACAGTAAGGTCTCCTTATCTCATTCTTGCAAAACAATACTCAACCACACTGCCCTCACCACCTGGCGCCCGGCTGCTGAGTAGCTGCCTGCCCACACAGCATGGTTTTGTGTAATTCTGGGGAACTGAGGCCCAGAAAATTAATCAGTCACCTTGCCCAGGGTCAGAGCTAGGACTCAAAACCCTGTGTTCAATCCAAAGCCTTGGGCCTTTTCAACTACTGCACAGAAAACACAAGCAAAAAGGTTCTAAGTATAATACATTCTTCTTTCCTCAAATAAAAATACTCTGATGAAAACAGTCCTTTAAAAATCTTTACAAAGCCAGATCGCCCTGCAGTGAACAGTCCTCTGTACTCAAGGAGGGGGCCACCCTCCCCAGCATTTGCTTTCGTTGTTTGCCCCACAGCAATTAAATCACTTAAACGCTCAGACTTTACAGGTCACTATTTCCAGGACAAGCGGACAGCACCCTCTCTGACCTTAACTCAAAAGTCCACGGACTTGCACCTGCGTGGTGTAAGGCTGCCCTCTGCTGTTATTTCATCAGTATGGACACAAATAACCTCAGGTTTGAAAACTTGGCTAGTCTTTTTCCACATGCTCAGGAAAATTAAGTCTGCTTGTTAATAAAACATGATGAATCCATGTGAAATTAACATGAATCCATCTGAAATTAACATGAAAGGCTCTGAAGCTAGCGATAGCTTTAACTTGATCATGATGCTCAGGGTTTTTCCGTATCTTACAGCTGAGCCTTCAGCCGTGCAACGAGGCAGAGCAATGTGTCTTTTCCCTGGAGCCTGAGGCTGGGCTGGTGGGCACATGTCCCATGCCCATGACACGGAGGCAGGGAGAGCTGGGTGTGCAGAAGACAGTGGCTGTGGCAAGGCTGAGACTGCTGTCTCTAGAAAGGCCCACTACAAGGGCTGGCCCTAGACTGGCACCCAGAAACTGATTTGGGGAAGGTTCCCAACATTTCCAGAACTAAGATAAAGATCTAGAACATCCTCAAACCTAGAAATAAATCAAACCCTAGAAACAATGGGATCTAGGAGACAGAGGCACCCAACCCCTACCTGATGATCCCTCCTCCCTGTCCCAGCCAGATGCCACCCAGCCTCTACTAAAAGCTCTCCCGCAATGGCAGTGCCACCTGGACAGTTCCTGGCCTCCAGAACCTCTGCCTGGTAGAGAGACGATGACGATTCCAGAGGTGCGGGGTAAGATACAGGATGTATGGGGGAATGTCGCAGGCAAACCCTGGGGATGGTGGCCCACCCTCGAGTACAGAGGACAGCCCATTGATGGGCGGTGCATCTAAACACTTCAAAATCTTATTATTTATTTATTTAGAGACAGAGTCTTGCTCTGTTGCCCAGGCTGGAGTGCAGTGGCCCCATCTAGGCTTACTGCAACCTCCATCTCCCAGGTTCAAGTGATTCTCATGCCTCAGCCACCCAAGTAGTTGGGATTACAGGCATGCACCACCATGTCCAACTAATTTTTGTACTTTTAGTAGAGACGGAGTTTCACCACATTGGCCAGACTGGACCTCAAGTGATCCACCTGACTTGCCCTCCCAAAGTGCTGTGATTACAGGCTTGAGCCATGGCACTCAATCTTATTATTTTATTTTTTTAAAAGACAGAGATAGGCCGGGCGCGGTGGCTCAGGCCTGTAATCCCAGTACTTTGGGAGGCCGAGGCGGGTGGATCACGAGGTCAAGAGATCGAGACCATCCTGGTCAACATGGTGAAACCCCGTCTCTACTAAAAATACAAAAACATTAGCTGGGCATGGTGGCGTGTGCCTGTAATCCCAGCTACTGAGGAGGTTGAGGCAGGAGAATTGCCTGAACCCAGGAAGCGGAGGTTGCGGTGAGCCGAGATCGAGCCATTGCACTCCAGCCTGGGTAACAAGAGCGAAACTCCGTCTCAAAAAAAAAAAAAAAAAAAAGACAGAGATGAGGTCTCACTATGTTGCCCATGCTAGTCTCAAACTCCTGGGCTCGAGTGACACCCAGGCTTAGCCTCCCAAAATGCTAGGATTCCAGGTGTGAGCCACTGCGCCTGGCCCATGTTTGTAAATGTTTTTCAAGGACATTTTCATCAGAGTATCCTTCCTTGAGTGAAGAAGAATTTACTTAGAGCCTTTTATCCAGCGCATTCAAGATCATGCAGAAAGCTTCAAATTCCAACCCAGCAAACACCCATTGGGGCGGGGGCGGGGGCGGGGGCGAGGGCAGGAAGGCCCAGGGAAAGAAAATGTCCGATCTCAACCAATCGGCATCTCCTGGATGCTTCCCAGCAAGGCATCTGTGGCTTGACTTCTCCCACCCCCTATAGACCCTAATAACTGGGCCTTCTGTTCTCACTTGAAAACTGGGGGTCACAAGGCCTGTCCTGAAGAACTGTGATGTCATAACCACCACAAAGAAGCATCACATTTCCCTATCGCCCCGACTGTGTCTAGAGAAACACTTGGAGAGGATGGGAGAACTCTATTTAGCAGCCCCACCTTCTCCCTTTCTCCAGAGCTCTTTGCCCATGCTGAGCCACCCCTCAAGGTTCAGGTCACCAAGTCTTACCTTGAAACTGAGGCTTCACCTCCCAGGAGCAGGAGGCAAATCCACCGAACACGTGCTTGTCATGGTCCTCGAGGACAGCCACACAGGGCCCCTGGTGAGTGATATGGCCACAGAGCTGGGAGAAGCTGTGTCCGTGGAGCTCAGATGAAAAGAGCAGGCGCCAGCGGTGCTGCTGCTCCCGAGGCAGGTGGGCATTGATGTACACAACAGAGAGGACGTCCAGGATGCTCTCAAAATGCCTGCCCTGGTCCACTTGACGCTCAGGAATCAGGGTAGTCAGATCAAGGGATGAGCTCAGGATCAGAAGACCCTTGCGAATGACCACACTCAGAAACGTGGCCACGTGGGGGACCCTGAACACCCAGTCCTCGATCACAGCTCGGTCACAGTCACCGTCCAGCCACTGGGGCCCCAGAAGCCTCTCGCCATCTAGGGGAAGCGGACAGTCAGTATGAGCGGCGCTGTTCGTTACTATCTAAACCCTCAATGACCAATGTGGGAGCCTCGAGCCACGTGAAACTACTGAGCACAGAAAACGGGGCTCGTTTGGATTGAGATGTGCTGTAAGTGTATAAGGGTCACCTGATTTCAAAGACTTGGTACAAAAAAAGAATGTAAAATAATGTCCATGTTTAAAAATTCATTACCTTTCAAAATTATATTTAGGACACATGAGACTCCGCTGTCCCTGTTTCTTTTTACTCTTTTAATGTGTTCCCCAGAAAAGTGAAAACTTCACACAAGACTTGCTTTATCTATTGGCCAGCACTGATCTAAACAATCTGACTTCAGCATTTTTCTCTGTTCTCCAAGCAGCATTTCAGAGGCCCTCGAGAAAGCAGTGCCCTGGCAATGGGGCTGGGATGCACACCTGAGCTATCCCTGGGACCGCTCATCAGCGGGTGTCTGTCCTGCTGAGGCCATTGGAAGGGCACTGTTCCCAGCCAGTCAGGGCGCAGGCAGGCCACTTCCTGGGACTCCTGGGGTTTCTCTGGGAAGAACAGGTTTCATTCACCACTAAGCCCGCTTCATCATGCAGCCCTTGGAGCCTATTTTCCATCCCTCACTCACTAAGAGTGGGGGCGACAGGTAAGAGCGTAAGAACACACGGCCAGGATTCCAGCAGCCCGGATCCACACCCAGGCTCAGGAACGGCATGACCTTGGCAAGGTCTTCGCCTCTCCATGCCTCAGTTTCCTCAGGTGTAAAGTGGAGGTAGGCCCAGAACCTCCCCCACGTTGTTATTCTAAGGACCAGAGGAGGAGCTTTTCCATATTCAGCTCTTGAGGACACAAGGTCTCCACTGACAGTTATCAGAATTCCCAACCTAGGGGAAATCTGAATCTACGCTGAAATAACATTTTTTCTAACCTAGGCCCACTTTATTAAGTAGGAAAGGCAAAACTACTTCCCAACTGATATTTTGAAATTCCTATTGTTTCTATTGATTTTTCAAACAGTTTCATTTTTCATTACCTATATACTACTTGAAAACTTAAGGATAATTTTAATCATCTGAATTAACTTTCTCTACTTCAATGACAACTTCAATTTTTATTTTCATTATTCTTCTTTAAAGCATACTAGAGAGATGAACACTTTACCCATAGATGAATTACTGATACTTACTTTTAAAATTCCAAGTTCCAAATACCTCATCTAAATTAATTTCTGAAATATAGCCTATTTTCAAGCTGTACTTTAAAATCTGGCTTTAAAACAAAAGAGTAACACATTTATAAAGTAAGTGTTTTGCAAAGTGATTTGCCATAAGGTTTTTTTTAAATCCCAAGTAAATTTAAATATATACTGCTTCTCAACCTCCAACAGCAGAAGACACATTCTTCTCAAATGTGCTTTAAGCATTACCCAGAAGTGACCATATTAGAGGCCATAAGTGATGCATCAAGAAATTTTAAATGACCGAAATCATACATCATGAAATGAAATTAAAAATCAATACTAGAAGGCAATTTGAGGAATTCACAGGCATGGAGAAATTAAATAACACACTTTTACACAGCCAATAGGCCAAAGGAAAAAATCCTAAGGGATATCAGAAAATATTGAGATCAATGAAAGTAAAAACATAACCTACCAAAACTTACGGCATGCAGCTAAGGCAGTGCTGAAAGGGAAATGTGCAACTGTAAACGCTTATTTGAAAAAGAAGATCTCAAATCAATAACCTAACAGTCTACCTTCAGAAACTACAAAAAGACCAAACAAATTTAAAGCGAACAGAAGAAAACCAAAGCTAGGGCAAAATAAACCAGAAACTAGAAAGACAACAGAAATGTAATGAAACTGAAAACTGGCTCCTCAAAAAGAACCAACAAAAATGTGAAAAACCTTTAGCCAAACTAAGAGGAGAAGGGACAAGACACAAATTATTCAAATCAGTAATAGAAGTGGGGACATCGCTACTGCTTTTGGGAAAATAAGGATTGTTTAAAAATATGGCAACAAACTAGAAAACCTAGAAGGAGGTTCAAGGGCTCACGGTCTCTGGTTTCAAAGCTTTACTACACAGCTACAGTGATGGAGACAGCGGGTACCACCCCACGGCAAAGGCCGGAGCCTCCGAATCCACGCACACTTGCCTTGCAGCTTCATCTCAGAGAGCAGCTGAGCAGTCAGCGCCTGCACCCGTGGGGAGGGCCCGGGGGCTTCCTTCCCGGTCCAGCCTCTCAGCTCCTGTCTGTGGCTTAGCACGTGCACCACAGAGCCAACCAGATCCTCTGTAAACTTAAGATCACAATTTTACCATTAACAACAGTTTTGCCGTAACCTGAGACCTATGTCATGTGCCCATGGAGAAGGGTGGTTTTCTTTAATGCCAACTATGATGAGCCACAGTGTGGGGAAAGGTCATGCAATGTAAGTAGCTATTCGGTTTTCTTTTCTGGTTTTTATTTTATTTTATTTATTTATTTATTTATTTTCAAGATGGAGTCTTGCTCTGTCGCCCACGCTGGAGTGCAGTGGCGCGATCTCCGCTCACTGCAACCTCCACCTCCCGGGTTCAAGCAATTTCCTGCCTCAGCCTCCTGAGTAGCTGGGATTATAGGCGCCGGCCACCACACGCAGCTATTTTTTGTATTTTCAGTAGAGATGGGCTTTCACCATCTTGGCCAGGCTGGTCTTGAACTCCTGACCTTGTGATTTACCTGCCTCAGCCTCCCAAAGTGCTGAGATTACAGGTGTGAGCCACTGCACCCAGCCGCTACTAATTTTTCTAATGATACGCTTGGCTGGCCTAGAAGTTTTTCCAAAGCCTTCATCCAGGAGTTCTGACTTCAGCCCAACAGTACTGGGGTTTAGGGCTCCCTGAGGATGGACACCTCCGTAATGCCTGCTGTCTTCATTGCTCAAACCAACAGGGCGATTTGCTGAGGCCCAGGGGCTCCCCCCTCCAGAAAATCCCTGATCTCAAATTTGGTTGAGAGCTAAGGTTTATTTTGCTGTACAACTTTTTTCTGCAGTTTTACTTGCTTCCAACAAGGAAGGCAAGTTTTCCTCTTCCATGAGGATAGAGGGCAGGCAACTGCTTTCCGGAGTTGGAGCTCGCTTCCAACAGGGAAGAGAGTTTTCCAGCTTCTAAGATGGCAGAGGGCAGTCTCCAGCCTGGGCCCCACTCCTAGGAAAGTAGCTGAATTGAGGTTTTGTCTTAAAAATTCTTCTTGATGACTAAAACCTAAGATTAACAACCAACTGGTCTTACCTTCTCCTTACCGTTACGGCACTCAGAAACTGTACAAACCGTGTGAGCATTTGTTTCTTTTGCTGTTTTGTTTATTTGCAGTTTCTGTTTTTGTCGTTTCTGTCTTTTTCCCATTTGGTTTGACCAACTCTACCTGACTTGGGCGAATACAAGGGAAAGTTCCAAATCACGGGGGGAAAAAGGCCTCTGAATTGGCTAAATCCTCACGGCTGGGGGAAAAAAAAAGAGAGGAAATAACAAGGCCACCAAAAGGAAAAAAGACCATGACTACCTGAGGGACTTTATTTCCATAACCTTTGCTAGCCAAGCCCAACAGAAAGACCCGTGGCAGCTGCCCCGCTGCTGTTGCTCAGTGGATAAGTTTCTGCCCTTTTTTCACAACAGCCGGAGTTTGGTTCTTACATCAAATTCTTTCTGGTTTGATGTTTGTGCTCCTTTTGAAATATGAGTCATTTGACCCAGGTAAAATACGACAGTGAGAGATTTAAAATGAGGGTTTTAAGAGCTCAATGGTTAAAGTCAGCTTAATTAAAAGCTAGTATCTAAGATATGTGTATGTGTATTTATATTGAAAGGGACATAATGCTTTCTTCTCTCCTTGGGTCTTGTTTTTTGAGGAAAAAAAAAAAAATTTTGCTTCCCTCTCAGTCAACGGAGTTGTTTTCTCCATTTACTTCTGCAGGCTCTCATTCCTCTTGCCACCCTCCACTGTACGAAGGACCTAAAATAACTTCTAACAGCCTGGCATTCCTTAAAGAAAACAGAGAAGGTGTCAGACTCCTTTATTCTTTTTTTTTTTTTTTTTTT